CTCCTGCATTGCAGGCTGATCCTTTACTGCTGAGCTATAGGGGAAGTTGGTTTCCTTCAAAAATATTACTCTATCATTTCCTCTTTTAGCAACTTCTATATATCAATCAATGGAGAAGGCAATGGCAACCCACTCCAGTACTCTTGCCTGGAAAATCCCATGGGTGGAGGAATCTGGTAGGCTGCAGTCCATGGGGTCGCCAAGAGTCGGACATGACTGAGCGACTTCACTTTCACTTTTCACTTTCATGAATTGGAGAAGGAAATGGCAACCCACTCCAGTGTTCTTGCCTGGAGAATCCCAGGGACGGGGGAGCCTGGTGGGCTGCTGTCTATGGGGTCGCACAGAGTTGGACACGACTGAAGCGACTTAGCAGCAGCAGCAGCAGCTGCAGATATCAATCAAAGTAAGCAGGGCCAGTCTTTTCTAATTGTGTGCACAAAAGTATCAATTTTGAAATATCAAAAGAGCCCCAATTTAGCCATTTTAGGTTGAGCTCTCTTTTAGGTATAATTTCCCCAGTTAACTAGGTACTTGCAAGTATGCGCACCGTAGGTATTGTACGTGAATCTGGTTGGAGTGTTAGTCAGAGGTTGGTTTTCTGATGCCCCTCGTTTCTGTTTTTGAGAGATCCTGTTTCCCACTTTAAGTTGATCAGGGATAAAAGTCACTAGTGAAATTGTGTAGTGGGCCCGTGTGCTTCTTGTGAACTTAACTCCCTCAGGAGTCACCCCAGAGTCATTTCTGCCTGTCTTACGTGTCTCGGATTCTACCTCCAGCAATCTAAGACCACCGTTGCTGCTCAGATGGCTGAATGGTCAGTTCTTATGGGTCACCCTGGACGAGCAAGTAGTTTAATTAGTGAGTGGGTTTCCTTATGGGACCACTGCATGATATGAGGACTAGGCCTCCACCACCCCCATAAATTTCTCTGTCCCCCGAGAAAAGTGCAACCAGCCGAGAGGAGCCTTGTTCCTTTTCGTTGCAGCAAAGCTCTTGTACATTCTAATTTTTATGCCAACAGATTCTATAAAGGCAGTCGAATTGAGGTAAAGTGTCAGATCAGCCTCTTAGCTCGCCACTCAGCCAAGACCACTCAGTCCCCTACAACGGAGTGACCTTGACATCTTTCAGCTGAGCCCTGGGTATTCCTCGCTTTTTTTTTCTGTCAAGCAACCCCCTCCCCCATACACACACCCAGTACTTTTCCACTGGGTGGGTAATTCCCCTGGCATCTCCCAGCCAACCTCCTATCCAGTACCTTTCCACTGGGTGGGGATTTCTTGGTATCTTTCAGCTGAGCCCCACTCAGTGTCTAGACCGTGAGTGGAGAAGCCCCAGATGTTTCACCGGCTCCCTGTTCCCCCAGTATCTTTCCAACTGGGAAGGGGCAGGTAACCTGCTGCGTTGCCAAATGAAACTCAGCATCTCAACCAACACGTGAGATTTGAGAACCTGGAGAGACTTTCCCAAATTTGTTTGGATTCCCCGAGGAGGCAGATGGGCGCAAGGGGCCACTGCTGGAACCAAAGCTCCAGTTCCTCGTGGAGTCCAGGCCAAGGAAGGAAGTCCACTCTGGGTCGCTTTGTCGGACACCCTGTTGACTTAAAAAAAGATGCACAATGTGAGAGTTTCGAGTGAAGTTTTATTTGCGACAAACTGCGGACTGCAGCCGAGGAGGCACCACTTCAGATGCCTCTCTGGAGCAGTCTCCCAGACCTGTCTGACATGAGGTCTCCGGGACTGCACTCTGCATTTTGCCCCAAATAAAAGTTAACTGGCAGCTCTCACACTGTGTGTCTTTTTTAGTCAATACATTTTACATAGTCCAGTAAATCCAAAGTAAGGTTTCAATATGTAACCAATAGAAAATGAGATATTTGGATTCTTTCTTATTGTATTTGATTTGTAAATCCCAGGGTGTAGTTAGGACTTAAGGCTCAGATCTGATGGTCCACACTGCAGTCTCCCCAGTGGCAGGAGCCGACTTCTGGGAGGAGGGCCCAGACAGCTTGGGACAGTCCAGCCTGGGCTCTGCACACTTTCAGCCTATTCCTTAGGTCTATGTGTCCACATCTGGGCTATATGAAGGTCACAGACAGGATGAGGTGCCACGTGACACAGAAGTTGACACCATAAAATACTAAAGTTTAGTAGTCGGATGGTGAAATGCTAGGTGCTTTGGGCAAGTAGAAAGATGGCTTTTGTTAAGGAAAATACTCTTGGCTGTATGGCTGGACTGTTGAAAGATTCTCAAACATTAATTCAGCTTAATGAATGAGATGCTATTTTGTTGGAGAAGGGTCTAAAATTTGCTCTCCAGGTTGTCTTGTGAATGGGCTTACTTTGAGCCTTCTTGAAAGAAAGGGCAACATTGATTCTTCTCTCACTGTCTTCCTGGACCATGGGAGACTAAGATAGTTTCATGTCTGCTCTGGAAAAATTACTTTGAACAAAACCTAGGGTTCTTGTCATCAAGGACTTTTGGGGGAGTTTCCATTTACCAGGTACACAAAACTGGGTTTTCTGTAAACTGGGGTTGCAGTAATTGTGTTCAAGTAAAATGTCTCTGGATTTGATAATTTCTCCTCCTGCCAGAGTGATAAAAACTAAAACATGACTAGACCAGCCCTTCATGGTGTGAATATACCCATAGATGCTTGTTGTAGAGATGCAAAGTTGGAAGGTGCTAGCCAGCAGTCAGTGGTGGGAGGAGCAAAGATTAAACAGTGATGAGGGCTATGGTGAAGGGTTGTATAGAGGAAGGATTGGGTGAGCATAACATACTTAAATGGATATGCTTTTTATTTTTATTACAAATTTTTTTGGGGGGATGTTCTGGGTCTTCGTTGTGGCCTGTGATCTTAGTTGCCCTGCAGCATGTGAGATCTTTTTTCCCTGACCAGGGATTGAACCACCCTGCATAGCAAAGTGGATTCTTAACCACTGGACCACAAGGGAAGTTGAAGATACGCTTTTTAGAAAACATTTTATAAACCATAAATACTCAACAGACCGGGTGATAGGTCATTATGACAATAAGTAGGAGTCTCTTCATTTAATAGGTCAGGTCTTTGAACTGCAAGGTCAGCCTCCCCACCTCAATGGTGTATGTGAGTGTGGCTCCCCCAAAAGTATCAGAAGAGTGATTTAAACTTTCGAGTTAATGAGGAGAGTGGTGGCAAGACTGGGTGACAGTGGCACAAGACTGACCCAAGTTGAATCTTGGTTTCATCACTAAACTGTGTGATCTTGGGCAAGCAACTGAACTCCTCAGTTTTTCGTGTATAAAACAGTCTCTTCAGAGTTGCCGTCAGGATCAATCAAGGTAACCTGTAACAGAAGCTTAGCCGAGTGCTCCCCCAAGCGAGCGCTCAATGAACACGCGTCTTGTCCCTACACCTTATCCAACACCTTATCCATTAGACAAACTTTATTGAGACGTCTTCTCTGTAGAGGAACCGGAGGAGACCAAGGTTGAGTAGGACAGGATTTCTTGTGGATTCATTTCTAAGGGACTTCTCATCTCTACCATTTTGTGACCTTATAAAAACAGAAATAAAGATAAAAAAGGATTGTAAAGACAAATGAGGATTCCAGTCTCATTATCATTTTAATTTCCTTTTTTTTTTTTTTTTAAACACAGCTGTACTTTTGAGTGAATTTTATTCCACCTTTTCCTCCTCCTTTTTTTTAAATTTCTTCTCTTCCTCTTTCTGGGACATGGACCATCTAATTTAACCTTTCATTTCCCCCTATTATGTGGTCCTTGAAAGTCACCTCATCACCAGTAACTGTCTTTAAATCACTCCAGTGGTTTGCAAGGACAAAGAGGAAAAGAGATTAGAAAGTCGAATACCCAGAGAAACAGGTTTTATAAACAACTTTCTAAAAATCTGGTATATGTTCTCACCATAAATGCCATCAAGCTTTAATTTTTTTATTTTTGCTATCAAGCTTTTACAACATTCATGTCTGTAGTCTAAGGCCCTGAATTGTGGGGGAAAAAAATTATAGATTTTAAGATTGTTTCCCTTTGAGTTTATTGTGATTCTTTTGGGAAGATTAAAAAAAAATAACATAAAGAATAAAGTTGTTGCCTGGTTACTTGACGCTGAAGAGAAATGGACAAATAATGCCCGTGTTCCAGTTTAAATGAATTCAGGGAGAGAAGCCGTGAAAGCAACCCCTCAGCAAACACGCTGTCACATTTGGCTTTTGAAAATGGCAATACAGACTCTAGAACCCGAGGCTGGGGAGGACCTTTAGAGCCCATCTGGTCTTCCCTATGGAGAGGTGGACATTTAAACCATCCCAAACAGCATACAATGGCCCCAATTTCTCAGACCATCAGAGAAGACAATGTTATCTGTGTTTATCTCTGGATTCATTTTCTATGTGCAGATAACCACTTCTCCCTGTTTCAAATTTTGTTGTTGTTCAGTCACTAAGTTATATGTCCAACTTTCCAATTTTAGCCAGTCTTAAGTAAAATCTTTTAAAATGCTCTATTCTGTGAGCCAATTTCCTCTTCTTTGGTCTCTAAGGAGCTAGAGAACACCTAGCTGACCATGATGCAACTTTGTTTTTTTGGACTTTTAGCACGTCATGTGGGATCTTAGTTCCCTGACCAGGCCCCCCTGCAGTGGAAACTCGGAGTTTTAACCACTGGACCACCAGGGAAGTTACCACTGCAACTCATAGCTGTTGGACAATATTATTTGTTACAGGTGTATGGTATAAGTGATTCACAATTTTAAAAGGCTATGCTCCATTCATATTCATTTTAAAATACTGGTTATACCCCCTGCGTTGTACAATGATGCCATTTTTATAAATTAGCTGTTTATTATTTCTACATTGATAATGGGAATAGATATTCATCAGAATATATTTTGGGGTCGTGACTTAACTCACTGGGCAGAGATGCTTTACCTCTTTGTATCTCCTAGCCTAATACCTGCTACTGCTAAATTTCACTGTAATAAAAGAAAAATAAATACAAAGACTCATTTTATTTAGCAAGACTGAAAATAAAACTGACACATAAAATCACACCTTCAGGGTTGTCCAAAACAGTTCCTCCATCTATCGACCCAGGGCAAATGAATCCAGCATATTGTTTGCAGAATGATTAACATAACAGGAGTCATTTCTCAGTTACAAAGGGGGTCGTTCAGTCCTCGAGGCTCTCTGCCAGTAGAGTTTTGACCGTTCAATTATCAGCTTGCACAAAAGCAGAAATAGAGAGGAATGAAAATACAAAGTGATTGGCTATCACTTCTTTTAAAAGGCAACAACAGAGACAGTGACTAGAACCTACTGGACAGACCTAAAGCGGCAGTGGTCCGTGGACAGAATAGACACTAGTCAGGATTCACTTATCCTCAATCAAACTTGGGTCAGTCAGTCAATATGTCCATCTCACTTCCACCATTTACTCCATAAATGGTGACGCTGTGTGTTGAAAGATACAGAGACCCACAGACACTGCAACAGATCATAAAAAAATCCACTGTTTTTTTTTTTTGGATCAATACAGTCAGCCCTCTGTAGCTGTGGATACATGGGTACGGAGGGTGGTTGTAAAGACACCATTTTACATAAGGGATTTGAGCACCCACAGATTTTGGTATCCTCGGGGCTCCCAGTCCCCTGTGGATACCGAGGGATGACTATATTGCTAAAGTTCTTCCAGTAATTTCTGCCCCCCTCCTTAATTTATTATGATCACAGATCCCTACAGATTTAGTCAGATAAAGATGAACAAACTGTGGCTTCCTTTCGGACATTCTGTCCTGATATTTAAAAAGTGATTAAAAACAGGTACCGAATATAGATCACTTCTGCAAAGTTTAATGAGTGAGAAACATTCAACCAAGGTGACTTTTCCTTGGAAAGTCCTACAAAAGCTGAATTTTAGAAACTGTTCCTTATTTTCATAGAGGTTCCATTTATCAATAGCAGCCATGAGTTTACTGCCTGCCAAATGGCAGGCTGTCATATTTAACATGTTTAGAATTAAAATGTTTTCATATCAGGTTCTCTAGTAAGCATTACCAAAACGAAGTCACAAAGACAAGACTGGTTAGTTGTCCCAAGCCAAGGAAACAGCTCATTCCTATGATTTTCCTATTCAGGCAGGTACAGACAACCATTGGAATTAAATGAATGGGAAGTACAATACTTGTATTTTTTGCTTACAGAAGGGATGTTGACATTGTGGGGGACAGGTGGAGCAGGACTTCACTGAGGCTCTCCTATGATCTAGTGCAAGAGACAGGCCGTCACGGGATGCTAGTGTTAGAGCAGTGTTCCGGTTAGCCCCCTGAGCAAGCGTGTTACTCGGACAGGCTGAGATGCCATGCTGCGTATCCCACTGGAGAGGAGTGTTCTTTGAGCTTAGGCAACCAGTCTCAGAGCAGAAGGGCAGACAAACATGTAAGTCAGGGATGCTGGACGTGACAGGGTGCTCCTGACAAGTGATTCATGGCATTGAAGTGAGAGGAGGGTGAGTATATCTTAATGATGGATGCTTTGTGTTGGTCTTAGGAGACTAACTGCCTTCTGCAAAAACGCCTGAACACATTAACATCCATCAATCCTTGGACATTTTGGATCCCTGCACAAAGTGTGACCAGGACTGGTGGTTTGAGAATTCAAAGTTCCAGAAATTAGAACAGAGAAGGGCAACATTTAGATCAAGACAAGTTAACCCTTTGTGTCTTCTTGGGCCAGCTGAATGCTCCCCCATTTCCCGGCTTTTGGGACCATCCGATACATCAGCAGTCTAGGTGTGGGTTCATCAATGACATGGAAATCTGTCCCAGATATTATCACCATGTTCCACCAAGAAGAGGGTGGTACAGTGGGAGTTTTTCTTGGTGTGGGGGCGGGGGCAGCTAGTAACAAATCTTAAGCCAGGGCTTGTCCTGGATGAAATCAATAGGCTTGCAAGTTCACTCCAGACAGCTGCCCTCCACTTGGTGATCTGGTACACAACCCCGCCCCTGACTCCAACTCCAGGCCATAAGGAAACCTCGGTTTCTGGTTTGTGCTCCCTTAACCAAATCCCCAAATTAAACCCAACAGCTGTCTCTCTGGGACCCCTGAACCCTGGATCTAAAGACGCGAGTCACTCAGAGAACAGGCTCCCTCTTATCACTGTATCAGATGAGCTCTCAGCACAAGTCACAGGCGCTGAGACTGGGACAGATTTTGGACAGCCCATCCTTCTCACCCAGAGGAGCTCTCCAATGCAGAATCTCCACAACAAAAGACACTTGACATAGACACTCCATAAAAAAAAGACACTTGATCTCAAGGAACAGACACTGTTTGCCAAGCAGGGACCGCAGAGGTGAACGGGTACTGTGGTCCCACTTCAGCAGCTTTTAAGACACTGGAGAGTTCTTTGTTCCTGTCTTCTCGATGCTGAGTGGAACCAATGAACAGGTGGAGGGAAGACACAACAAAACCAAACCAAATCACAGAATAGGTGAAAAGTCTGAAAAGGAACTGGGGATGGTGGCCAAATCGTGACTCAGAAATGAGGTCAGAAGCCACCATGCTCTGAGCCCTGGGGCAGGGAGGGTGGTGTGTAGAAAAGCTTGCAAAGCTAGCACCAGATCACCCTCAGCTGGGCCTGAGGCGGCGTGTGTGGGTGGCGACTCATGACACTTGGCCATAAACGCCAGAGAGCCAACATCCTCCAAGGCCGCTTCTCCATGCTCCGCTGGCAAACTCACAAGTGCGCGTTGGCCTAGGAGCTGGGCCTCACCCACGGGCATCTCTCACTGTGGAGGCGGCTCGAGACGGCTAGACTGCCTTTTCCCACTCCAGGGCAGTCAGATCACCTGGAGGCGACCTTCTGCACTTCTCCCACTTCTTGTTGATAGCATCCCTAATTAAGCCAGCCTCAGAAGGGCAAAAATCAGTGCCTGGAGGTCAGAGCTCTAACCCATCTTTTCCAAAGCTTAACCTAAATCACGTAACCTACTTACCTGAATAAAACCCCAGTTCATCAGTCCCTGCCCTACCCTTCCCAGGAAGGAAAATAGATTTAGGTCCATTTCTTCTTTTTTTCACCACAGTATGTGGAAGAGAGTCAAAGAAGGTAGTGTGGAAGGGAGGGGACATCCTGGTTCCTCATTAAAAAATAAAGATCTGTTTCGGAGAGTCATTGGAGGTTGTGGACTGAAACATTCAGTTCTCGGAGTCTGCTTCCATGGGCTCATCTTCCAAGCCAAAGCTCAGCTTGTCAGCTAGTCCCTCAAACTGCTTGCCTATGCTGCCCGCGGAGTCCATGAACATGTTAGGGATGTCTTTGCCAAAGTAAATCTTGCTGTTGGAAGCAATGGCCTTGTACTTCATCAGCTGCAGATACTCAGGGGTCAGCTTTAGCTGGAAGCAAATAGAAAAGAAGACATTGGTGAGGCCAGATCAGGGAAAAGCCTGGGGGGCCATCCCTTGACTTTTCACAGGGAGAGGGTCTCTGTGAGAACCACACCCCACCTCCTCTCCCTGGTCTCACTGTTATATTAGTGACCACGTAAAGACCCTGATGCTGGGAAAGATGGAGGGCAGGAGAAGGGGGCGACAGATGAGATGGCTGGATGGCATCACTGATTCAGTGGACATGAGTTTGAACAAACTCCGGGAGATGGTGGAGGACAGGAAAGCCTGGCGCGCTGGAGTCCTTGGGGTTGCAGAGTCGGATATGACCGAGCGACTGAACAACTACTGCACAGCCTCTTCTCTGGGAGAGCGCTCATCTCAGGTCCTCAAGGCGAGAACTGTGAGAGGTTTAGGAATGTCTGTGTTTAACAGTAACATGAAGGAGTTCCCTGATGGTCCGGTGGTTAAGAATCTGCCTTCCAATGGGGATGAGGGGGCAAGGGGTTCGATCCCTGGTCAGGGAACTCAGATCCCACACCCCGCGGGGCAACAAAGCCCACGCATGGCGACTGCTGAGCCTGCGCGCTCCGGGGCTGGCGCGCTGCAGCCAAGGCCTGATGCAGTCAAATAAATAAATAAATAAATAAATATTTTAAAAAATCAGCACAATTAAACTTCTATCAGGGTCCAAGGGAAAGGGAAGGCCCTGGCCCACAAGGCACAGGAGTCCTCGATTATGGCCGGGCAGGTGGGAGGCAGTGGTCGCAAACAGTGTAACACACGTTCTCTTCACCAGGCAGCGCTGGCCCGTTACCTTATTTGCTTCGGCTATCTTCATGGCAGTGTAGCACTCAGCGTCCGCCTTGGCCTTCTCCCGGGCCAGAAATGCAGCATCTTAAGGAAAGAATGCAGAGAATCAAAGCAGAGAAGCCATCAGAAAGCAGGTCCCTGCAACTTTTCCCGACTGGCCCCGTGATCCTGGGCACACTGCTCTAGTTACTCTGGGCTCTCATCCTCTTATTTACGAAACTGGGAAAAAGGCATTTTCTCCTGTTTCGCAAGTTGTGAAAACTGACCAGGATGCAAAAGTGCTGTGCCAGCGTCTCCTGGTGGCGGGGACTACCTGACCACGTGCAAGCCTGTCGCTGTGCCTGACAGTGGCTTTTCTGATGGTGTCATGGAAACACACATCCTCTTTCCACCCACCGACCCCTTCTGGGGCGGGTAGGAGAGGGCTGGGACCCTGCCTTGGCCTCCCGTCTCTGAGCTCTCTGCCCTGGCCCTGGTCCTCTCCCCTGTGCCACACAGCAAGAGCCACGGAAGCCCGAAGAAGGTTCTGGATGCGGCCCGGGGTGGAGCTGCCCTGAAACTGACTGCCGTAAACAAAACAGTACAGCTCGTTTCCAACTACATCTCTCTATTTCCATCGGTCGTTTCAGAAAGGCTCTCGTTAGCAGTGGTTAAGCTAGCCCGATTCAAAGAGAATTACAGGCCATGGTCCAGACTAACACCTGTTTGAACTACGACCGATTTAAACTTCTACTATGTAAACAATCCCGTTCCTTAATCTGCTGAGACCAGCTTTCGGTCAAGAACTGATACAAAGTTGTTGATATTTCCTCCCTGTCCTTGGGAATGAGGCCAACCTCATGTGAGCAACACCTGCACCAAAACCCGGGAAGCAAGGTGGGTTCTCACTGTGCAGCCTCAGCAGGGCCCCGGCTGGCGGGAGCCTGCAGGCCGGCCGGGAGCAAGCGGCCAGCTCAGCTGGCCTTAGCACCTGGTGACTTGTGTTTACAAGAAGCAGAAATGTGCCGCCCGGCTCAGGTCCCCGTGAGGAACCACTGATCCATGAAATCCTCACTGGCTCCTCCGCGGCCGCTAAGCCTGACAGGCCAGGTCAGGAGTGTGAGTGGACAGGGCGCCCTTGAGCCTGGGGCTGGGCCCTGAGGGCGTTCTCAGCCTGCAGTTCGCTTGAGGAGGAGGTGGGCGGGGGGGTGAGGGGAAGGCTGAGGGCAGGGCCCGGAAGGTGAGTGACACCGGAAGAGCCAGCAAGGAAACGCCTTTTCCCAGCTCGCGATGCCGGTGCTGACAGGTGTCTTCTTCACACCTGGCTTAACATCCACAGGGACCCCGAGAGGCCAAAGCGACAGGGCTCACAGGCCCCTGTGACAGGGGACGGGGCAGGCAGTGGGGAGCAGGCTGCAGCTCCGACCTGGCTTCCTGGTTTACTTCCGGGGTCAAACTGCGGGCCCAAGACAGCTGGGACCACGTGCTTCCCCTTTTTCCAAAGCCCAGCCCAGTGGAAGAGTCCTGAAGGCACCCAACTCAAATCTGATGAATGACTGAAGTGGAAAATTAATCCCAGGCTGGCCCGCATCTCCCCACAACCTGAGTCAGAGGACAGAGAACGAGGCATGTTCCAAAGAACACTAGACGTCTGAGAACGGAGAAGGCAAAGGAAAGGACGCCCGGGCCCCTGGCCGCAGGGCGGGGTCTGAGGAATGGGGAAGCAGGGCTTTCAGGCCTGCTCACCTTCGATCTCTGAGATCCTCTTCTCCGTCTCCTTCTCCATCACCTTCTGCCCAAAGGTGATTTCGGCCACCTGCGCCACCTTCTCTGCCTCTGTGTTAGTGGAGAAAAGCCTCAGGGCTCTGATATTTCAAAACCGTTCCCCTTTCACCCCCATCTGAGGCCCTGAGGCAGGGCAGTGGGTGGGCCCAGGTGAAGGGCCACTGGCCCAGAGGGCAGTCACACAGGTCCCCTGGGCAGGGGTGGGACACCCCAGGGAGCACAGTATCAGTGCAAGACAGTGAGTGTGGGTGCCCAGCCCCAGGGGGAGTCACTCCTCTGATGAAGGTGAGGAGCTGGCCCTGACCTCTCTCCTAAGTCACAGGGTGTTCCTTCCAAAGGAATATTTTACGGGTTAAGGTATGAGTTCCCTCCCGCACTTTCGGAAGTGGCCAGGGTCGTGGCTGGCAGTCTGGAGCAGTGGTGGAGAACCTGGGGTCAGGAGGCGAGTGCCTGGATTTGAACCCTGTTCTCCTTGCTCCCCTGCCATGTGACCCTGGGCAGTGATTCAGCCTCTCTGAGCTTCGGCTCAGTGAGAGTAGGTTATGGACGGTGGCATCCTCACCGGGGAGGGGGGAGGGGGTGTGAGGAGTGGGGTGAATTGCACGCAAGTGTTTAGAAAAGCTCACTGTAAGGGCTCCTCAGTGTTACCGTCTTTGTGCATGAGGGGTTAGCAGGAAGGGCTCCTTTCATTTAAGAGGCATGTGGAAACGAAGGCCGCTCCTGCGAGGGGAAGGCTTCGGAGGGCCGTGTCCCAGGCTTCCTGACCTGCCCCCAGCCCGCCAGCCCCTCGGTCGCCCAGACCCCAGAAGCACAGTCAGACCGATGAGGGCCTTCTTCCGCTCTGTCTCGGCTTCCTTCTCCACCACCTTCTGCTTCTGGGCTGCGATCAGCAGTTTTGTCTTCTCGCTCTCCCTGGAGGGGAGGAAAGTGTGCAGCTCTGAGGCCGCTGGGGACGAGCTTCCTCGGAACTTCACTGGCCCCCAGGAAGCCAGCCCCCTGCCCTGTCGTGAGGCAAGCTGTCATTTCTTTCACCCTCGGGAGGTGTGGTCTTGTTTGTAAATCTGCCTGTGCCAAACGGCATATGGAATCTTAGTTCCCTGACCAGGGATTGAACCCACAGCCCATGAACTGGAAGTGCAGTCTTAACCACTGACCACCAGAGAAGGCCCTGGAAGGCTCCTAAGGTCCCAGGTGAAGGTGAATATGCTGCAGACAGTAACACGGCTAGCCTTCTCCTTCAAAGCCCACTTGTGAAAGACAAAGCGTAACTGACTTGCGTGAAAGGCACCCGCCTGCCCACTCAGTCGCCTCCCTGTCTTCTCCAGCTTGAGCCGTGAAGGGAGCGCAGGACTCCCCGCCCCTCTGAAGAGCGTCTGTGCCCTCTGGTCACGGAGCCCAGGTGAGCGGCCCGACACGCCTGCCCCGTCTCCCAGGGTGACGGCTGTACAGACACTCCAGGGGGGACCACATGCGTGGCAAGGCTCGGTCAGCCCTGGGATGGGATGAGTGGGAGGAGGGCAGGGCGGTGGTTCTGCTGAGGCGCGGGGCCCACTCACATAAGCTCGTAGTTCCTGCGGATGGCTTCCGGGATGTTGGGCTTCGTCACCCGCACAGCCTGCAGAGAAAGATAAAGATAGCACTTGATGGGGACGTGGGGGTGCAGAGGGACCAGCTCCCATAGGTCCTTGGTCTTCCTGCACAGACAGGACATGCTCTGGAAGAGGGGCTGTGCCTTCCTGGGGGTGGGGGGTGTCCCACCAGGGTGGTGCTCACTTGGATGACGAGCCCGGGGGCCATGGAGGTCAGGTCTTGCTGCAGAGCCAGTTTGAGATTTTCATCAATCTGATCTGGAATCAAGACAGAGAGAACACGGAGCTGAGATGCTTTCTAGACGGGGTGGAGGGAAGCATGGGGTAGACAGCCAGGCAGGACACCAGCTCAGGAATGTATCCAACAGGCCAAAGCTCGTCCGGAGGCAGAGCGCTCATCAGAGCTCAAATGTCTGAAGACTCCCTGGAAGACTCTCACGGCGGACACCCACTGGGCCCGCTATGTGGCCAGATGGGAGTGTCCTTTCCCTGGGGCCTCAAGAAAACATCAACCTCGCCCGGAAGGGAGCCGAGCTTTAAAAGAACAAATAACAACTCCAGCACATTTCTTGAGTCAGGAAGCAGCCCTTCCCTACAGATAGCAGCCAGAGAAGGTGGCCGCCCATCTTTCACAAAGAAGGAAGGTGGGACGGCCACCTCAGGTATTTTGAAAGGAGTCAAGCACGCTAAATCTATTAATAAATTTCTAAAACAAAAACTGACTCTGACATCAAGAGAGGCCCTAAGGAAGACTAATCCATCAGGAACTCAAAAAAAAATTTTTTTTGGCTGAGCCACTCAGCTTGTGGGATCTTAGTTCCCTGACCAGGGGTTGAACCCATGCCCCCTGCCCTGAAAGTGCAGTCTTAACTGCTGCACTGCCAGGGAAGTCCTGAGCCTGAGTCTTTTGATGTGTTGTTTGCCTTGGTCCTGACTCTTCTGTCTGTGAGTCATTTTATGGATAAGTGTTGGAAGAGCTGTAATTGATTGCCACTCTAGCTGTGACCCCAGAGCAAGCTGTCAGCGTTGGCCTGGGCCTTCCCTTCCCTGCCCCCACCCATGAGATCCCAAAAGATCCTGGAAGGGCCCTGAGAAAAGGACACCATGAAACTAGCCTCAGACATCTACATGGAACCACCTCCTTTACTGTCAGCAGCCAGCTGCTTTATGTGGCCATTCTTGGTCCAGGAGCCTTTGAGGAACAGCAAGTCTAACTCCCTGCCTGTTATAAATGCTCAAGCTGAGGCCCACAGAGGTTCGGGGATGTGTTCAAGCTAATCAGTAGTCAATATAAAGAACATGTTTAATCATTACACTTTGATTGTTAGTGTTTAGAACAGTACTTTCAACAGTCATATCACTAAGCAAGGGGTTTTACTGTTTCTGCATATGCATATGCTCCAGAAATGCCCATAAGGGCAGCACCTCACACCTGACATGGGTGTTAACAGTTTGATGGCTAAAGATGAACATTACGTTCCATATTTTTTATTTTAAATAAGAGACAGGCCAAACTTTAAGGGAGATAGCTCGTACCCCCTATAAGCTAATAACATGGCTGTTTCTCAGATTAAATTCTATCTGAGTCAAGGAAGATACCCATGGCTCTGGGCTAGTAACTTTCTAGGAAAATCTAGAAGAAATATTTTACAAGATACTTTACTAACAAATTTACACCAGGACCAAGTTGTTTATGGGTGATGGTTATGCTGACAAATGCTCTTTAGTTAAGAGCTGATTAAATTAAGCAAACAACTGACTCATTGGAAAAGACCCTGATGCTGGGAAAGATTGAAGGTAGGAGGAGAAGGGGACGACAGAGGATGAAATGGTTGGATGGCATCACTGACTTGATGGACATGAGTTTGAATAACCTCCGGGAGTTGGTGATGGACAGGGAAGCTTGGAGCGCTACAGTCCATGCGGTCGCAAAGAGTTGAACACAACTGAGTGACTGAACTGAACTAAGTAAACACAAAGTACTGGATAACATTTTCCTCAAACGGGAAACATGGACGCCTCGGAGTAAGCGGTGATAAAAACTGCATCAAGCTGAAAGTTAGGGCTACGAGTACTGGGAGGAGGGGACCGGAGAAAACCTTTCCATTATCAGGACACAGGATTAGAGACACGAGTTTCTCCTTTGCAGATGCAAATGGATGTTAAGCAAAACAGTGCTTGCTGGCAAGAATGAACTTTAAAAAGGAAAATATTCCAACGCAAACATAAACCCCCAGCTCCTCCATACAGGAAGCTTTACTTTACTGAGCTGCCGAGTTCATCTGAAGACAAGACAGTGAGAAGTTTTCTAATGCAGAACAATCTCACATCTTAATTCTCTCTTCATAGAAATCAGAGATCTTTCGTTGTTGCAAATGCTTTGTAATGTTCATTTACTGGCACTAGTTCTAAAACAATGGCTAGAGAGAAAACTAATGATATTTTATGAAATTCTATCGGTTTGAGGTAAAAAAAAAAAAAAAAAAAAGCAAATGTACTGAATTTTTCTAAACAGCACACCAAATCCAAACACAGGAAGAAACTTCAAAGTCTATAAAGTGAATTTATACCTGTTTTCATCTGCAGAAAAGTTAAAATGGCTTCTGATGATTTCCCAAATTTGAAACACAGGGCAAAAGGCTGTTTGCCTAGTTAAAATCATTGGTGTTGCCAATGACTCCACCTCTGTCTACGGGATGTTCTCACTCCAGGTCCTTTGAAGTCCTTTAAATTAAGATTCCTGGGCAAAACCACTGGCTGGTCCTGGCATTAAGAATAGTTATACCACTGGTTGCAAAGTTCATTTGCTTTTAGCCCTGGCTTCTAGAGCACTCCTAGCAGTGAATTTAATAGAACGCTTTACCCCAAATGAGCTATAACAATTACTGAAATGCTTCTTTGCATTGTTGCTGAAGTCAGGCTATGTTTTTGTTGATCAGGAAAAAAGTTCAGAAAGTGTCAACTTAAGACAAAAGTGGGTCCTTTCTGTTTTAAGCATTTTCCTATTCTTCTCTATGGGTATAGGGTAAAAAACCATCACTAACAACAATCAAAAGCCACAAAGGTTCTGGGAACTCTAAGTAGTTACAGTCCTTGTCCCACTTCTAGAATTAAATGTGACCCCTTGGGACTTCCCTGGAGGCCAGCGGTTGAGACTTCACGCTTCCAGTGCAGGAGGTGTGCGTTTGATCCCTGGTTGGGGAACTAAGATCCCACATGCCTCGTGGTGCGGCAGAAAAAAAAAAAAACCACACTAAAGCAAACAACAAAAAAAGTGTAACCCGGCAGTTCTCATCACTGTCCTTGTGCCCTTCCTCCAGGGTGGGGTGGATGGAGCCAGAAGCCAAGGGAGGGAGGTCTGGACTTCACCTCTGCTCCCAGCCAGCTCTGGGATTTTCTCCCTTGGGACCTTGGTATCCTTAAATTGAAAGGAGGATGCTGGGCTAGGTAATCTCTAAGGTTCTTCTAGAACTGACCCCTCTTCATTACAGAAGGAAGTTCAGGGACATGGGAACATATTTCCATCCCAGGTCTGATGCAGGGCAGGAGCGAGTCCTCTTGTTCACTATGACTCCCATGTCCAACACTCAACCACTCTCACCATCTTCTTCCATCGGCACCCGTGTTTCCTGGGAGTGCCCCGTGTGACTGTCTGCTTCCTGGGCACTGGCTCTTCACCACTTCCGGTCCCTTGGTACCCACCCTGCCCTGTGGGCAGCTGAATCAGGCAGCAGGTGATCATCCGAAAAGATTTTCTTACCGAAGAGCTCGATGTAGACCTCCTGAAGCGTGTGGACACTGCAGAACTGGTTCAGCTCGTGGTGGATCTTGTTGAAGATGAGTGCCTTGTCGTAGTCGGCTGTGTAGTTCTTCACTATGTCATACACTGCAGGGAAGGAGACATTCAGAGTGAGGAGGGCGGGACCTGGCACATTCTCAGACACATGGGCTGTCCCTTCCGAGCTGCTACAACAGACACGGGGGTTTGGTGGGGGGAGACTTGGGGATGATGCCAGGGAGAGTGGGCTGCAGGGGAGGGGTGAGGTGGGGCAGGGGAGGTGTACTGCAAGCAGGTACCTGCGTGTGGGACCAGGAAGTTCACCACCTCGATTCTGTCGAAGTAGATCATCACACCACCGCTGTTGGAGGAAGCGCAGACAGTGCGGTCACTGCTGAGCTTGGGAATATTGGGCCTCTCCCAGGGTGATGGTGGTATGCATGTGCGCGCGCGCGCGTGGGACTCGGCAGGAAAGGAGGAGGGTTCATGGGGGTCACAGGTGTGTGGATCTGAAGGCAGGAGACCTTCTGAGCTTCTATCATAAAATCTCCCAAGAAATCATACCCCCTAAAAACATCTCCACTAGGACAAAAGTGAAACTTTTGGGATAAAAGAAGAGTAGTTCACATCTTTTGGCTCTGCAAAGCCTTTTGAATAAAGCTACCAATCACAGGGAAAAGACTAAAGAAGGTTATAGGGTTCTCAGTACTTAAAAATGTGGAATGTTTTGGTCAGTGTTTCTCACTGTTTTCACCATCACTTTAATTCAGCCCTCTCCCCCCTTGCCCTCAATATTCATTAGAAAACACTTTCAAACATACAGAATAGAACAGTACACCTCCAACTAATAAAAATAAATGGAGAAAAAAAAAGAAAAGAACAGTACAACGAACACTCGTATACCAACACCTAAACTTAACAATCATGAACATTTTATTACCTATTGATTGATCTACTTTTTCTTTTTTTTTGGCTGAACATTTCAAAGCAAGCTGCAGTCAGAATCCTTTACCCCCTAACACTTGGCAAGCACCAATCACCTAAGTGATGACAGTCCCCTACAGAGTCACAGTATCACTCCTAAACTAGGGAAATGAGTGATAATTCCTCTTCATCTAACGAGTCCTTCTCTAATTTTCCCCACAAGTTCCCATGATGGACTGAATTGTGTGCTCCCCAAAATCCACATGCTGAAACTGGAGCCCCCAAAGTGAGTGCATTTGGAGACAGGGCCTTCACAAAGGTGATTAAAGTTGAATGAGGTTGTAACGGTGGGGCCTTAAACTGACTGGACTGGTAAAGCAAAGAAGACAGAGGCCCCAGAGATCTCTTTGTCTCTCCACACATGCACAGCGGAAAGGCCATGTGAGGACACAGGAAAACAGCCACTTGCAGGCCAGGAACCAACCTTGCTGGCACCTTGATCTTGAACTTTGAGCTTCTGCAACCGTGAGAAAAATAAATGTCTATTGTTTCAGCCACCCAGGCCATGGTATTCTGCTGTGGTAGTCCAAGATGACTAACAGTTTCCATAACATCTTTTAGAGCTGTTCTGTTGGAACCAGGCTGTAATCAAGGTTCACTACTGCATTGCTTATGTCTTTATGTCTCTTTTCCGACCGAAGGGGCCTCCAAATTCAAAGCCTTTGTGATGAGATGAGGCCAGTTACCCTGTGGGAAGTTCCGATTCCATATTTGTCCTAGCGTGTGGTTTCCTTTGTTGCTCTGTCCCTGGTGCTCAAAACGACCACCTTGACTTTTCAGTCGGACCACTGCAGTGCGGTTCTCTTTCAGTTCCCTGCCCCTGCGGTCTTCTCCTACCATCTTTCCAACGTTCTCCATATTTAGTTCTGTTAAAGTTATCCTCCTCTATCAAGTTATTCATCTGCTAACAGCCTTCATCATGGCCTTCAAGGCCCTTCCAAACCTGACTCCACCACCTACTCAACTCAGAACATAGGGAGCTTAGGGGCAGAGAACTCGGTGAAACCAGCCAGGGGGGGAGGGGGGGGGGGCGCGTCCCTTTCCACTGTCTCTTACTGCAGCCGGTCAGATGGCCCTGCCTCTTATTTGGGCTTCACAGCTTTATTCTGGGCACCTTACCTTGTCCCACAAGGTACATTCTTCACCTCATCTGTCTGGAGTGTGGTCTGGAAATAGGAGAGACAGAAGATGCTGTGAGGTGAGACGTGACCAAGAAAGTGACTTCTTTTGGGAATCCCTTGGCCTTGGTCTTGAATACTTATTTGGGTTAAGCTTTGCCTCTGTTAAATATGAATACCCCCACTGAATCCTCCTTATTTGCAGTGTGTGAGGCTAAACCAGGCAAAAGTACCACCCCAGCTTCGCTATAAATGAACCACCATATGAACAAGCTGAGTAATAATGGTTTAGTGGAAAAGACTCTGCACTAGGAGTCTCACGACCTGTTTACTTTCATCTCTTCCATTTACCAGTCTGGAAACAGCAGATTATTTAACCTCTCAGCCTGTAAAACCTGTTCAGCCCATTCTCAGGATTACTGGGAGACTCAAATGAGATAATATGCATGAATGCACTTTGAAAACCATAAAGCATAGCAAATGGCAGAAGAAACCTACAGGGCAAATGCTGATGAGGTAACCCAGGATACTTTCCTGGGTTAGTTTAAAAGTCATTCTCTAAATCTTCTTATTCCTCTTGTTGGACATACTTCAAAGATGACTAGTCTAATTCAGCCTGGCTTAAGATCTGTCATAGCTAATCCTATCCCTATTTTAGATGTCATTTCCCTTCATTAAGTTCAACAACCTGCACCCCTCACAAGTTATGTTCACATCTCTCATGTTCAAATAAGAACCAACAAAATTACCATGTTTTATTTCCATCTATCTTGGGAGCCTGTGGTTTATCACACACACACATAACATACACGCACACATATCCTACTTTTCCTTCTGTGCATTCAGAACAGATTCTTCTCTGGCTCTGTCTTGAAGTAGAGACATAATTCCCACCTGGGACCTATGGGCCAAGGCAATGACCCCATTCAGCTATTTCAACAATTAAGTAAAACTCCACAGTAAATGGCTCATGGAGCCTCATACCTTTTACCTGTATTATATATATGATCTATTCTTAAATGATTCCTTGAAAAGGCATCACACTCATCCCCTCATCCAAGGGCTAAATCATTCTAAATCATGCATTAATCACCACCCTAAATCTGCAGTCATCCAACCCTGCCCCCCAAGCCCAGTATACCTGCACAGACTTATATGATGTGATGAAAGGAAGCATGAGATGGAAGCCAGGGCCGCTGGTGGAAGTCAGCAGGGCACCACCTCTGCAGTGGAGGGAGAGACAGGCAGGCTCAGTTTAGCAAAGACATGTCTGTTACATCGATACAGTTTGGGTCCACTTTCTCTGCAGCCCCATAAGCATTTAAGACAGACGGACAAGTGCCAGAGCGATGTCGACGGATCCGTTTCTTCCTCTCAGCTCGACCCTATTAGTCTAAGAAGCCTGATGGTAAAACCTAAAACCATTATTCATGCTTTTGCAGAGAGAAAAATGGCACACAGACAAAGTGAAATAAAGACAGTAGAATCCCTGGCTATCCTTGCGATAAGAGAGGTGCATGTGCTCAGTCGCTTTAGTTGAGCCTGATTCTTTGCGACCCCACAGGCTGTAGCCCACCAGGGTCCTCTGTCTATAGAATTTTCCAGGCAAGAATACTGGAGTGGGGTGCTATTTCCTTCTCCAGGGGATCTTCCTGACCCAGGGATCAAACCCCTGTCTCTTACAACTCCTGCTTTGGCAGGCAGATTCTTAGCTAAGAGAGGAGGTGTGTTTTATTTTTGTCACATCTGTTGAGCTTATGAGAATCCAAAGGTCAGTTAAATTCACTAATACAGTGACCAATTAATGATACTAATGTTGGAGTTCAGTGACACAAACAACCAAAAGAATAATTTTAAGGAAACTTTATAAACCATCTAAATATTTTTAAGGGGCCGTAGAGTTACCTTTGTAGTTATGCTATATGTGAATGGTAACAGAATTAAAAGTCATTTTTGGAGACATATGCTTCCCTGGTGGCTTAGCTGGTAAAGAATCCGCCTGCAATGTGGGAGACCTGGGTTCGATCCCTGGGTTGGGAAGATCCCCTGGAGAAGGGAAAGGCTACCCACACCAGTATTCTGGCCTGGAGAATTCCATGGACTGTATAATCCATGGGGTCTCAAAGAGTCGGATATGACTGAGTGACTTTCACTTTGGAAGACGTAGAAGCAGATAGTGGGATAACACAGTAAAAGGGGAGAGTGGAAGCCAATCAGACTTCTAGAACTTGCTATCGGCAGCCAGAGAAAAAGCATCAAAGGGCTTTAAGAAGGAGTTCATAAAGGCATATAAGAAGTTCACAAAGATTTAAAGCAAAAACTTGGTTATGGAGGTTACTCAAAGGAAAGCAACCCAAGATTTACAAGTGCTTCTTTGCTTCATGTTATTTAAGTCACAGATACATTTTTTTTTCTCTTAAAGAGCAATCAAAATAGTGATGGAATAGGTTATTTAAGTACCACTATCCTAGAGGTTGCCTCAATGGGTACAAATCAACCTGCAGGCTCTTTCATTTTCCCCGAAATGTTAATTTTAAAGCATAGGTCCAAATTATATCTCAAGTTGCCATGAAGAACTGGCACTCCTCAGAGGTTAGCTTGTGGTACCAAGATGCCCAGAGGGAAGTAGGAGAAAACAGTGTTTCAGAGATGATCTTCAAGGAGCATGGTTGCCTTTCCATTTCTCTCTAAACCTAACACATGTATCAGTTATGATCCATGGCATCAGACTAGTTAAGTTTCATATTTACAATTCTCTATATATTTACATGCGTGTCTGTATTCCCCTTCCATAGTCACTGACACAAAGCTCAGTCTGAAGACTTCCCTATCCAATACAATGTAAATGCAACCTGCCCCGCAGAATCTGTTACACATTGACTAGCAGAGTCATCGGACAGGAAGTTGCCAGCTTCTCCCCATCGCTGCCTTACCTGTAATACACCCCAATATGTCCCTCTTCTATCTTGTGCACCGCCGAGAAGAGAGAGGCACAAAAGAAACTGGCAGCCACAGCCAGAACCGCTCCCAACTGAGCCATCAGCAAACGTCTACCCTGGGGGAAAAGATACAGGAGAACGTGTGCCCTGACTTGTGGGCGGAGAGCTCTGGCAGCCAGAGTAGCTCCCCAAGCTGAGCTCCTGCAAGTGGCTCATGTCCAACCTGTAGTAGTGTGAACACCAGGCTAGATCTACACCTCTTCTTCCTTGCTCTCAGTCGACCCCCCCCCCCCCCAACCCTGCCCGAGCCTCAGCTGCGGAATTACACTCTCCACCTTCTGCAAGAGGCAGTGGCTCCAGACACAGCCCGCGGGCCCAGGGGAGAACCCGCGCCAGGTGGGCAGCGTTCAGAACACAGCCCTCTCTTCCTGTGAACACCAACGGGCTGTCACCGGAGCCACGCATGTCAGCAGGGAAAGAGGCAGCTGCAGTTATGTTGGCCCCAAATTACAGAGGATGTCAAGTGACGGGCGGTTGCGGCTGTGTAATTCTGGTCAGAGCCTCCCAGTCCTAATTGCCTGCCATTTCAAAGGAAACCATTATTGACTCCTTTCGGGTGCTGGGGCCACGGAGACAGCCTGCAAGCAGAGTTCAGCAGGGCGGGATTCTCTGGCCTTTCCTCCACCTTCTCCGTTCTTCCTTTGGCCCTAGCCAGATACAGGGCTCTGGGCAAGGATGAAGCCACGCTCCTGCCCATATGCTTGACTGGCACTTTACACTTGACAGGTTCTCCCAGCCCACGGTTGGGGCGGGGGGGGGGGGGGAACGGGGTCCCCCAGGCTGGGAAGACAGGGGTTCCTGGGTCGACAGCATTCAGGCACCGGGATGCGAAAGAATGAGCACCCAGAGACTCATTTCCTGAACCCCGATTGATCTGGAAGAAACGACAGTAACTGAGAACGCGCTGCGTGCTCAGTCGCTTCAGTCGTGTCTGACTCTCTGAGACCCCACGGACCGTGGCCCGCCGGGCTCCTCTGTCCATGGGATTTCACCAGGCCAGAGGCAGGAGTGGGGGTGCCGTCTCCTTCTCCACACTGACAGCGAGGCTCCCGACTCTGCGCGCCCTGGGCTCGCAGGCGCGACGTGTGGACTCTGCCCCCCGGGTCTCACTGAACTCGGGCGCGGACGTCGGTCTGCGAGGCTCTTCGACGTTCCCCGTGCAGCCTCCGGCTACCGATCGGCAGCGGCGGAAAAAATCCTTTCCCTTCCCCCTCCGCCCCACCGCGCGCCCCTTCCCCGCCCTCTTCCGAGAGAGGGTCGCGCGGCCCCTCAGGAGCCGCGGGGTCGGAGCCCTCCCTGAGCCCCGGCTCAGCCCCGCCGAGAGGCTACAGTGGGGCAGGAACGAGACGGGAAGGGCTTGCTCGCCCTCTCCCGAGGGACACAGGACGCTGGGCAGGCGACCAGGGAGGGCCGCTAGTCAGTCAGCTCCGGCCCGGGGGCCTCACGGAGGCCCAGCGCGCGCGAGAAGGGGCGCGGGCCGCGTACCAGGCTGTCTGTCCCTCCAGGCGCTCCGTACTCTGCCGAACCCCCCAGTGCGACCGCAGAAACCGCCACACCCCTCCGCACGCTACTTCCTTCCGGGCCCGTCGCTTCGATGACGCCATTTGTTCACGCGAGAAGACCACACCTCCATCCCTCCTTCCACCCACCCCGCGATGTCCGGCCCCGCGCCCGCGCCCCGAGAGGGCAGTGTCCGAGGATGGCCGCCAGGGGGCGCTCGCGGATCGGTCCGGGAGCTCGGGACCCCGATCTGGGGTTTTCGGGGTGTCGGGGTGTTGCGGGCGCCTGGAGAGTGACCCCCGGGAACCAGCGGAGGGGCGGTGAGTGCTCAGACAGAGACGTCGGTTTCCGAGGATTTGAGTTTGGAGTCTGCTCCGGATTCCCCTCCACATTAGATCAAGCCTGTGTTTGTTTTTTTTTTTTAACGCTGGAGCAGGTTACCAGCGTATTGCAACCGTTCTAGCTCTCCGCTCCACTTAACCTGTAGCACCGCTGAATGAAACATCCTTTAGGTGTGCAGATTAGCACCATTACGTCGCTAATCAACAGTCCGTACTGTGAACTGCCCTTTATGCTTTCCGAGGAGCTTTCACCTCTGAGATCCCCAGAGCACCGTAAAGTAGATTAAGCAGGAATTCTCAATTTTTAGTGAACAAAATCTAGGTTGAATGAAGTGCGAGGGTAGCTGGATCATAGTCGGTTTTCAGCTCAGTCGCTCAGTCGTGTCCAACTCTTTGCGACCCTATGGACTGCAGCACCCCAGGCCTCCCTGTCCATCGCCAACTCCCAGAGTTTACTCAAACCCGTGTCCATTGAGTCTGTGATGCCATCCAGCCATCTCATCCTCTGTCGTCCCCTTCTCCTCCTGCCTTCAATCTTTCCCAACATCAGGGTCTTTTCAAATGAGTCAGTTCTTTGCATCAGGTGGCCAAAGTATTGGAGTTTTAGCTCCAGCATCAGTCCTTCCAATCAATATTCAGGGCTAATTTCCTTTAGGATCCAATGAATATACAGGACTGATCTCCTTTAGGGTGGACTGGTCGGATCTCCTTGCAGTCCAAGGGACTCTCAAGAGTCTTCTCCAACACCAGAGTTCAAAAGCATTGCTTCTTTGGTGCTCAGCTTTCTTTATGGCCCAACTCTCACATCCATGCGTGACTACTGGAAAAACCATAGCCTTGACTAGACGGACCTTTGCTGGCACAGGATTGTCTTGTAACTCTTCTTTACCGCCTTGTAACGCGTGTGGCTCCTCACAGGGTCTGGTGCTTGTCCGTATCTTCCAGGTAGATTGTAAGTTTTCTGTGGGTGGAGACAGGGTCTTCCTTCAGCATCCCAGGTCCCAGGTGCTCGGTAAAAACAGACTGCAGCACACTGGACCCAGGGCCAACATCCAGACCTCGCGTCTCCCAGTCTGCAGCCTTCCCGGGTTGACAACATCACACCTGGACCTTTCTCATTCAGCGTCTGAAGTACTGTGTTTGTGGAAGAGACAGTCCACTTAATTACAGTCTTCTGTACTTGGAAAGCAGTTTACACAGGGAAGATGGCAAGCTGGGGATGTTGGACAGATTTAGGACGCAGGAAAAGGAAAGTGTAGGTTTTCCAGACAGGGCTGCTGGGGACTGGCCCATTTCCAACCTCCTCTCTCACCACCTCCTGGGGGATTGCGCTAGCTGAGTTTGTGTTGAGATTTTTCATTGTATGTTAAGGCCACAAGTGGGCTGCAAGGCGCTGCCTGAATCTGTGTGCCCACCTCCATAAGTGAGGGTCTCCTGTCGACCCTGTCACTGCAACCGCACCTCTAACACACACAGGTGCACATAGGCTTGGCCAGTTTCCCGATGGATCCTATCAGAACTTAAGAGCATTTCTGCTCCAAGGTCAGTGATAGAACTGGGCCCCACATACTTAATAAAAGTTTTGTTAATAGTTCACACTTAACAAATGTTTCCCTAACAGTTGAGTGAATGAATAAGAGAAATGGAAATGTTGGGGTTTATCAGCCGGAGGAATGGGACTTAGCTTGCAGATAAGAGAGTTAAATTAGTTGTCATTTAAGAATTTCCTGACTATTAAACTTTGGAATGATCTGTGAACGGAAATGGTGGGGTTTCTTTCTCAGGAGACTTTTACCAGGTCTGGGTTATTTACTTATGGCCCTGCCTACAACCGTAACTAAATGATGATCTAATATTTCTGAGAAGGGCATGGCAACTCACTCCGGGACTCTTGTCTGGAGAATTCCACAGACAAAGGAGCCTGGTGGGCTACAGTCCATGGGGTCGCAAAGAGTCAGTCACGACTGAGAGCAACACAATATTTCTGAAAACTCCTTAAGAAGCCCATGATTTTTATGACTCAATACCCAACATTACCAAAGAGGTAGGTCTGTATTTAAAAATCCATTAAAAAAAACAACTTGCAGTAGAGAGAGTGGCAAAGTGCAGACACTCCATGGTGAAATTGTGTGTATTTAAATCCTGCGGCACCCCCCCCCCCCCACACTGCCGGCCTCCTATTAGCTGTGGGACCTTGGGATAATGATTTTATCTGTGCCTCAGTTTCTTCATCTGTAAAATGGGGGTCAACTTTACAGGACTATTGTGAAGATTAAATGACAAACCGAGAAAAGCACGTACAACCACCCTTGGCCCATTTTAAGTGTCCAATAAGCATTAGCTATTGCTGTTTTAAATAGGAAATTTCCTTAATGTGTTCTTGTCTGTAAATTCAGATTATTATTATAATTAAGATTTTGTTTTAATTTGCCTGCGTTGGGTCTTAGTTGCAGCCACAAGTGGGATCTTCATTTCGGCTTGCAGCTCAGTAGTTTCGGAGTGAGGGCTCAGTTGTCCTGAAGCACGTGGGATCTTAGTTCCCTCACCAGGGATTGAACTAGCGTCCCCTGCACTGGAAGCGTGGATTCTTAACCACTGGACCACCAGAGAAGTCCTGGATTCAGATTATTAATGTGATGGAAAGCGAGAGAAGGATGAGCTCTAAGGTCTATGGTTTTGAATTGTAACTAGGTGAATGCTTATCAGAGGAAGTGATAAGGGATTCCAAAATGATACCTCCATAAATGTTTACAATACAGGTTTAATAAAGTATGACTGAATGTTTTCCACATACCAGGCCCTGTGCCTTTCCCATTTTATAGAATCTTTGGCTTAGCCCTTTGAGTTCAATGCCATTTTAGAGGAGGACGTTGAAGCTTGGAGAAGTTAAAGGAGTGTCCAAATCACAAAGCTTTTAAGTTGCCAAGGCCAGATTCAAATGAAGTGAAAGTGTTAGTCACTCAGTTGTGTCCGACTCTGTGACCCCATGGGCTGTAGCCCTCCAGGCTCCTCTGTCCATGGGATTCTCCAGGCAAGAATACTGGAGTGGGTTGCCATTCCCTCTCCATGAGATCTTAGCAACCCAGGGATCCAACCTGGGTCTATGCATTACAGGTGGATTCTTTACCTTCAGGGCCACCAGCGAAGTCCATAAATTCAAACGACCCCAAGTCTATTTCTTCATTATAGTAAATGAGTTAGAAAATAATGATGCAACTTAAAACACATACACACACACTTACCACGTTTATTTCAGATGTAACTTTGCAGGAATGTAGATCAGCGGTCAGAAATTGCAGAACTTTAAGTTGGGCTGGTTCATTTTGGAAGTTGAGCAGGATTTTGAAAAAACATGCTCACCTCAACCATCCATGTCCCCCAATCTCTGGATGGCTGTTTAGTCCTCCAACAAGTTAATTGTTGGTGAGGGTGCCGCTCCAACAATGGAAGAGATGCCTTCTTTCCATATTAGAACCCTTTTCATCAATAACTGGGTCAGCCCTGGAGCAACCAGGCAGCTTTTAAAATCTTTGGCTTCAGTTTATTTTTATCATAAGAGTGGAAGCTGCTGGAAAAAGTTTTTCTTTATTTTGATTTTTCTTCTTTAGTTAATGCCCTAAACAGAGAATAGAGGTCATCTTTTAGGACATTTGATCCCAGTAAGATTTTGGTTGGGGAAGAGGAGTGAAGGACTGCACCTTAATTATTGTGAGGGCTACTCAGAACTTTTCCAGCTGGCAAACCTAGGGCTGGTGCCTTGTGACAACAAAAGGATATTTGCTTGGGGCTAATGACATTTCTTCAAGGGAGTTCTGTAAAAGGATCAAAGAGAAATCATGAAAACAAAATTGAGTTGGAAGTCCTCTAGAGATCATTTTGTGACTATATGTTTTTACAACGTTATTGAGGT